TCCCCCCCCCCCCTCCCCCCCTCAACGGTAGCCGAAAGCAGATCGAGCGCCGGCCCAGCGCCGCCCCGACGGCCACGGAAAGGGCGAGCACTGCGGCCGAGATGCCGTCCTCGACTCCGCCTGTGTCGCCCTCGCCCGCGTTGTCGCCCTCGCCCGAGTCGCCGCCCGCGTTTGCGGCGACGCTGTCGCAGAGCCGCGCCAGCGCCCGCTCCCTCTGCTCCGGCAGCGCCGCCGCGTGGCCCTCCCCCCGCAGCGCGCCGCTCACCTCGAGCAGCTTTCGCTTGATGGCGGCGGCCTTGCCATCGTCAAACTTCATCAGCACTCGCACGGGCACCAGGCCGGCCCCCGGCGGCGCACTCGACGCGCCAGCCGCCGCGGGCGGTGGCGCCGTCGGCGCAGGTGCGGGCGGCGGCAGAGCCGGCAGAGCCGGCGCCGCGGATTGCGCCGGCCGGTTGCTGCGGTGGCGCGCCAGGAAGGCCTCGAGCTTGGGGAGGTTGGCGCCGACGAGCTCAAAGACGCGCTCGGCGCCGCGGTAGACGTGGAACGTCGGCATCGCGCGCACGCCCGCAAAGTCGCGCACGTCCTCCGCAACGTCGACATCCACCTTGACGAAGAGCGCCACGTCCGAGAACGTCGCCGCCATCTGCTCAAAGTGGGGCGCGACGAGCTTGCACGGGCCACACCACTGGGCATAAAAGTCAACCACGACCACGCGGGGCAGCGACGAGGTGGCCACCTCGAGTAGCTCGCGCAGGGAGCGGATCTCTCGCGGCATAGGGCTCTTTTTGTTCGAGCCACTCGGTGGGTGGCTCCTTTCCCTCTCCCTCCCCCCTGAAGACACTGCACGGCGCGCGCAGGGTTCCAACTTTTCCGCGGTATGGGTTTTATTTTTTTGAGAGCGCCTTCGTTGTTAATAGTACAAACCCAATGGTCCCTTGCGAGCGGTCCGTCGTTGCAGTCGCACACACTCACACGCCACGCCGCACCGCGCGCCCACCCGCTGCCCCGCCCAGGCGGGAAAGAGATGAGGAGATGGGACAGCGAAGGAGGAGCACAAGCACGTATGGGAGGGTTCAGTAATGCGCCACGCTGCCCGGCGTCTCTCACTTTCCGGGACAGCCCCGCCCTTGTGAGGCAGGAGAGTGACGGCTACCCCGTACGCCCTGTTGCTTCTACCCCGACGCCGACCGCCCATCCGCCCCTCCTCGCTCCCGCCTCGAATGCTCCGGACCCCGACAAGCCGCCCGACGTTGGGCCTCTGCCCCGCACGCTCCCGCCCCTCTGCCCCTCACACACACCCAGGCCCGACATGCACATACAAGACAAACCCGGCGTCCTGCTCTCAAAAGAAAAGAAAAAAAACGGGAAGGAGGAGACCAGCGGGGGAGACTCCCCGCCTATGCAACACCCCAGAGAGGGGCTGCCATCGCCGTGGTGAGAAGTAATCGTTTGGGGGGGGGCGTTGGAATGCGGAGATCCTCTGTGGTGCCCCCCTTGGCACTTTACTCTCTGTCTCACACGAGACGCCGCGAGTCGGCTGGCTGTACGGCTTCTCATCGATATAGAAGGCAAATCCCGCCGTTGCAACTGCCATGTCGGGCAGGTCGGCGGCTGCAGCTCTCGCCTCGCTGGCGGCGCAGTCTAGTGCCGCGGCTCCCAACTCTCCTGCGGGCTTGGTATGTGTGTGTGTGCGGCTGTTGCGGCGGGCGGCTTGCTGCTCGCGGCGATGGCGAAAAACTCGTCTCGTAGCACACCAAGAGCTTATGCTCTGGCGAGATGTGAGGCGCATGCGCCCAGGTGCCAGGACCAGGAGGGGAGGGCGCATGCGTAACGACGCTGCTAGAGATGCCTTTCGGGGCCCGGGGGATGCGGTTGGGAGTGGGATCGGCAGTGGTGGTGAAGCGCGGGCGGAATGGGTGTGTGCGTGGGATGGAGCGGGACGCGGGCGGGAGAGGGCAGACACGGGTTGGAGAGCAGAGGCGTTTGCGGAACAGAGCGCGGGTCGAGGGACACGTTGGTGGTGTGCGAGGCGGCCGCGGCAAGGAGGGAACGGGAGAGGCCTCCTCTCGCGCCGAGCGGTGACACTGGTTGGCTTGCGGGAGTCGGGAGCCTCTCGGGCGGGGCCGGGGGACGTGTGCGCGCCGTGTGTGTAGCCCCACCCCCAGGATCCAGACGCGTGGGAAAGGAGGATTTGAGGTATGGCTCATGTATGGGAGTGCCGTCTACCTAGTCCACGTGTCTCCCTTCTTACCTCATACATATTGCCCCGCGCTTGGCAGCGCACGTACCGGGCTTAGCGAGCGACAGCGGACACACAGTGGATTGGATACAGTGGATCGAGCAAGCGAGTGATACAGCACATCAACTCAAAGGGCGGGCCCGATGGAGATCTCGCCCCCTTGGGCGCGTTTGGCCTTCGGCGCCCAACACGCCACCTTGTGTGCATAGAGGATGCTCACGAGGACGAGCGCGATGAGCGCCACGCCGCCTGCCGTAGCTCCTGCGACGATACCGACGGGCACGCCGTCGCCGGCCGGCGGCGGCGGCGAGGGTGAGCCAAGTGGTGGCGGTGCCCTGAGCGCGGTGACGGTGTCAGCTGCCGCACCCCAGAGGAAGGTGCTGAGGCAGCGCACGCTGCCGCCCATGATGGCGACAGCGCGCGCATCGACCCCGACGACTGCTAGTGGGCGGTCGGCGTGCTCGGCGACGAGAGCGAGGGCCTCAGAATCCGCCGGTGCGCCGAAGGTCGGGACGTAGATTGCATACCGCGTCCGCGCAAAGTTCACGTAGACGCCCTCGGCGCTCTCAAACCCGTCCTTCCAGACGTCGGACGAAGGGTAGTACGGGAAGGGCACAATGTTCACATCGTCGCCAAAGGCGGCAGCCAGGCGTGCCGCGAAGAGCGCGAAGGTGGAGGGGTCTGAGAAGTTTGACAGTGCGAGGGTCGAGGGGGCGAGCCAGTTGCAGATGCCGTCGACATGGCCGAGGCGCGGCGCGCTCGGCTCCTCGGGAACGATGGCGACGGTCACGTTGATCCCGCTGGCGTTTGTGGGGGAGAGGGCCTCGGCGAGCAGGCGCTCGAGGACGCTTTTGGCATGCTCCAGATCGGCGGAGGTGATGGCTGGCGCGCCCGCGTACGGATCGGCCGCGCCCATGGGGCGCGGCGGTAGGCCGTCAGCGCTGAGGCTCAGACGGCCAACCAGCCACGGGTTGTCGCGCAGCACTCGCTCGGTCACGACAGCGCGTAGGGTCGTCGGCTCCCAAACAATGCCTCCGCCGTCCAACACCAGAGAGTCAGCCCTCATCTCGCAAGCATCCTTGAGGCACGGGTACGGTCCATTCCCGGAGAGTAGCGAGACCTCGCCACGGGGCCAGATCTGCTCCACAAAGCGCCGAGCGCTGTGGTCAATCCAGCTGATTTCTTGCTGGTTTAGGTACATGGGGCGGTAGCCAAAGCGGACGAGTGTCGTATCGGAAAGCTGCGTCACGAAGAAGTCCCTGATCCAAATGTCGTCGAGAACACCAACGATCGCGTCATTCAGGCCGTACTCCTCGGAGAGGTCGCGCCGTGTGCGATTGTCAGCAACGACATAGAGTTGTTCGCCGGCGCCAGCGGCCGCCTCGAAGAATGTGTTCACGAAGCTGTATATTGCGCTGCGCTTGCTGTCGTAGTACCCGTAGTGGTGTGCTGGTGGGCTGAGCAGGATGAGCGCCTCACAGCAAGCGGTGAGGGCGAGCATGAGGCTCGCATACCTAGCTAGCGGTCAGGGCGAGCGTGAGGCTTATCCCCCTGGAAAAAATCTTTAAACGAATCCTCAGCTTTTACCGGGACCGGCTCTAGTGAACGTTTGACGTCTCCAGGAAGTAGTTGAAGGTCCACCACAGCCTCCAGCCTCCATAACAAAAGGCCACAACAACGCTCAACGGTCAGTTTGTTTGAAAACAAATAAATATACACCCGCACCCATTTCTTTCTTACAGCCGGGGCGGTGGGGGGACAGGGGGGTCGTCGAGAGGCGAGACTCGCACTCACAAGGTCTCACGTACGGTACATTAACGACCCCAACTTCTCGCGGCGAGGCGGCGTGGGCTCAGGCCCCCCGCATGACGGGCACGATCACCTTGGCGAGGAACTCGCGTCCGATGCCCGGGCAGCCCCACAGGTACTCGAGCGTCGCGATCTTGTGCTGGTGGGCCAGGGCGTCTCTCGGCGAGGCCGCGGCGCGAAACGGACTCGACGCGTGGGCGAGGTTGGCTCCGCCGGCGAGGGCGATGAGGACGGCGGCGATGAGGACGACGCACGACGCGACGATGACGGCGCCGCGCAACGACCAAGCCGCCGCCTCCGCCGGGGCGAAGGCGAGCGCCCGCTCAAAGGCGACGCGCTCACGCAGCATCGCGGCCACCTCTTTGTGGCTGAGGGCAGTGACGTCGACGCCGTCGACGCGCTGCAGCAGCATGCCCGGCCGCACGAGATGAGCCAGCGGCGACGCCGGCTGGATCGACGCAACGGACACGCCCGTAGCGCCGCTGGTTAGCGTCAGCCACAGAGGGCCGGGCGGGACGACGACAGAGCCATCGCGCTCGAACGTCGTCGGCGCCTCACGCCGAAAAAAGAGCTCCCGCTCAACTTCGGCGTGATCTTGGAGGAATTGCACGGCGCCGCTCGTGGAGCACTGCTGCTCCTGTGTTGCGCTGCCGAACAGCGACCACCCCACGGCGACCTTGCCTTCTGCGATGCTTCCACTCGCGACGGCAGCCACGGTCGCACCGTTGAACGTCAGGCCTATGTCGCCCGGTGGCAACTTGATCCGGACAAAGCCCTCGTCCTCCTCCTGCAGGTCGCGCAAGAAGGAGGTCGCTCAGAGGGCAAACCAGCAGGGCAACCCAACTCGACCAGAGGGGGTCCCGAACACCAGCGAAAAAGAAAAAGAAATCGCAGCGGGTCCTGTGCCCCTTTTCTTTTTTGAAATGAGGAGAGTGCGGGAGTGCGGAAATTTTGTGGTGGAAATTCTCTTTTTGAGTCCGCGAGCAAAGTACCCCCTTCCATGGTCCCTTTTTTCCTGCCATGTTTCGCATCGCCTTGACGCTCGCCGCGGCCGGGATAGCGAATGGGGTGCTCAGCCGCGGCGCCGCCGCCGCGCATGGGTCTCCTCGGTACCAGGACCATTTCCTGCGCATACACCCATCCGCACGGAATGGTGCGGCCGCCAAGGTGAGGCATGCCCGCAGAAGCGCCTCGAGGATTGGACGGGCATTGACTCCTTCCTCTCGCCCGCAATTGGCATCGTGGTCCTCCTGCTAGTGCACTTGCTGGCGCCGAAGCCGTCGCACAAGTGGTTTCAGCCCGTCTCGCACAAGGACGCGGTGGGCACGGACGAGGAGCCCGTCGGGGTGGAGATCCAGGAGCCCCGCGTGGCCCCAGATGCCTCCGCGGTGTGAGCGGCCACCGCTCCACAGGAAGCGGAAGGCTCTGCTATGCGTGTACATTTTGCAGGTGGGGCGTGCCGGCGATGCGATAGGCTCATGCAGCGATATGCTCCCTCCCAGGAGATATGAGTCTTCTCTGCTGTGTGCGGGCGACAGACTACTAGCATCGCGTTAGGGGGCCACAGCTGGAGCTAGCATGGCGTTACTTAGGGCCGAGCCCCTGGTCGAGCGGTGCTCCTTTGGGCGGCTCTCACTGTCCCTTCATTAGTGCGTTCGGCGGAGCTCCGGCCTCCGGTCGGTGCACGGTGGCCCCACTCTCTGTGATCTCTGTCTTTGTATACTCTGAACTCTCTTTTATTGTCCTCAATTATTGTCGCTACGGGGGGAGCTCCCGGCCGCGGATACTCTACTCCTGCGCTGCGCAAGCACGGGCGGGAGGGGCTTCTCCTGCGGAGTCGTGCGTGCGCAGGGCTCCTCTTTGCTTTCTTCTACTCCCTACTATCATCTCGGTTCCTGTCCTACTCTACCAGAGAAACTCTACGTCTCAGTATTTGGTGGCGGCGGGGGTGAGTGCCGCGAGGAACCACGAGGAACGTTCTGTAGACTAAAGCCGTACGTACGGCTTATTTACACTGCTGTGTTCTCGTTCTCTCTTCTCTGCATAGTACGCGAGTACTGACGTAGCAGGACTAACACTGTACATCTAGATCGATCTACATCTAGGGGCGAAACCAGCTAAGAGCTAAAACACAGTGGGGCGCGCCTTGTGTCAGCACATACTACAACAACAACAAATCATGCAGTTAAGGGACGAGGCCGCTCTGCCCTTGGAGGTGGAGGACCACCGTCTTCGCGTCGGCGGCGATCCGAGGGTAGCGCGCCGTCGTGAAGGGGAGGGCCTCCCAGTAATCCCAGCACCGCGCGCGGTCGCCGCTGGGGCCGTCGGCGAGCTCGCGGCCGGGGAAGCCCACCCGGTCGAACTCGGGCCACGCAGCGCCCGCGAGCCAGCCACGCAGCGCCGCCTCGAGCTCGGCGTCGAGGCCGGCGTGGTCGGCGGCGCTGGGGCGGATCCACAGCATGCACTCGGCGTCGAAGTCCCGCTTGGTCGGCGGGTTGATGTAGCAGCAGCCCCGCACCACGCCCTCGTCGGCGGGGTCGAGCACCGTGTACGCGAAGGCGAGGCGGAGCTCGAACTCGGCCTCGTGCCGGCGCAGGTCGAACAGGTCCTCCTCGCGCGTCATCCCGTAGAACGGCCACGCGTCGCGCCGCGCGAAGACGGACTGCAGCGGGCTCCCCTCCGGCGTCAGCCCGTCGAGCACAGCCTCGTAGTCGGGGTCGACGTGTGCCGCCCGCAACGGGCGCAGAAGCAGCCGCGCCGTGCGCAGCTCCGCCGGTGGCGCCGCCGCGAGCGGTGTGGCCGCGGCCGGCGCGACCTCCTCGTCCGGCCCCGCGAGTAGCTCGTGCAGCGGCGTGGCCAGCGTGGCGCCGGGAAGCGGCGACCACCTGTTCACAGCGAGAGGTGTGAAGAGACGCTGCTCACAGCCCCCCAGGCGAGCGAGGCGCCGCGCAGCACCCGTCCTTGCCGAGCAAGACGAGGCGCCGCCCCTCCTCCGGACCCGCCGCCGAGCTCTCCACGCGCCAGCCCGTCGACACGCGCCCCGCCGCGAAGCAGACGCTGCCGCCCGCGTCGCGGGTGTCGCGCGCGTACCCGAACCAGTCGCCGCAGACGACGAGGAGCTCGCCGTCGCCGCGCCGCGCCGCCAGCGAGGGCCCGCCGTCGAGCTTCGCCCACTCCTCGGTGTACTGCGCGGCGTCGGGCCAGGCGTGCTCGAGCCACACGCGTTCCTCGCCCTCCACCACTTCCATGGTACCTGCGTCCTCCGTCGGGAGAGGCCTGCCCGACTCGGCGGCCCGCCAGCCCTCGGCACCCGCGCTGCCGTCCAGGTTGAAGATGGCGTGCCAACGTATCACGCCGTCCTCCAGCGTGGACACCCCTGCAAACGCCTCCGCCGCCCGGTCGGTCACAGCGGCCGATACCTCGCTCGGATCGACCGCCTGTGCTGGCCAGGGCTGCCGTTTCTCGGCCACGCGGACATCGACAAAGGCCGAGGTGTGTATCGAGGCGGCGAGCCAGGACGCGAGTGCCGCATCACGCGTCGAGCTTCAGGCGCTGGCGGTGCTGACGTAGCGCACCACGACCGAGGCATCCCTGGCACCAGGAGTGCTGCTTTTGAGCCCCGGGCGGGCGATCCACCGCCGCTCCCACACGACGTCGGCAAGCTCGGCAGGCGTGCACGGCCACGAAGAGGACATTGAAGACAGGGCGAAGTAGAGCGCAGAGTATAACTGGGAGGCTGCGCGGCTCTTCGCGCGGCTCTTCGCACCTGGGCGCACCGCCTCGGCCTGCCCGTGCCGAGCGGCCCAGGTGAGCAGCGTGTCCTGCCTCTCGGTGTCGTGCCGCGCGTCGAGCTGGGCCGCGAGCGACGTGCCACGCGTCCGCCGCCCGGAGAGGAGGGCGTGCAGCGAGGCCAGGTCGCCCCAGGTCGGCGAGGCGGGTTGGCTTGCCGCGGCGGCCAGAAGAAGAACCAGGTTCGTTGTGAAGAGCTGGGGCGCGCCACCCAAGAGCCTAGGTAGGTGCGGATCGGCAAGAGCGCAATCGATCTTTTTGCCCTCTATCACCTTGGGTTGTAAGAACTTGAAACACACGACGCAGGGGCACAGCAAGCACGGATAGCCGTTGAGGAGAAAGGGCGTAAGGTGTATGCGCAGCCACGGCCGTGCCGCGGTGGGCGCGCCACCTCCCGCGAGCGCGGCGGGATCGGAATTGCGGCCGGAGGGAAGGGCGAGCCGCCGCCGCCGCCGCCATATACCATCAGCGACGACGACCGCGGCTCGCCCCAAACGCCAGGCGCTGGATCGGCAGTAGGGCTTGGGCGGCGCAGCGTAGGCCTCGAGCCACACGAGTCGCCGACAACCCCCCCTCATCGACGTGATGGCCGCACCCGCTGCCGGCCGATGCAAGCTGCCGCCTCCACCGCACCAGCGATACTGGCCGCGGCTCGCCGCCACGCGCCGGCTCGGAAGAGGGGCTATCGGCGGCGCAGCAGAGCGGCATGCGTCGTCATTCGAGCAGCACCAGGTCCCCTCTTCGACGTGACGGCCGCTCCCGGAGCCGGCCGGTGCGCGCCCGACCCACGCCCCCTCTCGCACCCCCCCCCGATCCCCCTGCGCGGCGCCCCCTCCACTGCGCGCCGGCTCGAGCGCCTATTGCCAAATCGCAACTTTTGAGCGCAGTGCGTGCGCCCCACACGTCACGCGAGCGCAGGAGAGTTTGCGGCAGAGCAGTACCGTGTACTAGCCGGAGGCATCGCGCCGAAAACCCCGCGCATTCCGCCCCAACAGAGGCTGCAGGAGGCAGATGGCCAATAGCGACGATCGTTACGAAATGTTGCGTTACCGGGAGCTCTCCAAGCTGTCTTGGGTGGTAACACGTCCGCGTTCTGCAATTAAGGGGAAACCCGGTACTCGGAGCCAACCCTCGGAGACGTGTTATGGCCCTGCGACCGCGCACCCCCCAGGGCTAGGGCTCTCTAGCCCGTAACCCGATGCCAATCATCCGCTGGGTGTGCTTCTTAGCCCCCCGGCCCTGGATGTGCGGTGAATGACTGCACTCCAAGTGCTCCAAGTGCGGAACGTTTAATTGTTCCCTCCGCCGGAAAGAAAGAACCCTCGCCGCATGCATTCGGCCCGCGGCCGGGAGAAGCACGACAAGGGACCAGCAGCGCGCGCCAGCCGCGCAGTGTTGAATATTTACCGGTATGGGAGTTTTTGGCTAATCAAACCCTAGGCCTGAACTAATCAAAAAGTGGTACGGGATACCAGTTGCCTCACGGAAATCAAAGCGAGTCGGAGTGCCTTCTTGGTGGCAAAATCGGCAAAATCGGCAAAATACCGGGTATTTTGCGGGTATACCTGGAAAAACCCGGGTATACCCGGGTAATACCCGCACTTTTGCATGGTTTCGCCCCCGGGACCACACCGACAGCCGCTACAACTAATGAAAACCCCGCATACCACTATCGCATACCACTATACCATACCACTCCAAAACTAATCAAAATATCACCAAATACCGGTCTCATACCGGTAAATATTCAACACTGCACGCCGCGGTGCGGTTTCGTTGCGTCTTCGTCCCCACAAGCAAGGGGTACACCATGGTGCATGGATCGATTCCTGCTTGTGGTTGTGCTTATGCCACAGGCGAGGTCTTTCAGAATGCCGCAGCACACAGCTGTAGGGAACAACGCCTCGGAGCATGGCCAGGGCCCAGGCCTGTGCATCCCACACTGCCACACCACTGCCCGCCCGCCGCTAGACCTTGCGAGGCGCCACGGCCCGTGCCGCAGCGGGGGGCGAGGGAGCCGTCCCGTGGGCCCCTCCCCCCCTACCAGCAACGAGGGGCTCATGCAGATAACACTTAATAACACACTGGCGGCGGCGCGGCGTGCACGCGAGACGCTCATCAGAGAGTGTGGGGGGGGTGACACAGTGCACCCACACACACATATCAGAGAGCGGTCAAGACAGCGGCACTGCACGCACCGCACACCGGGGCAGAAGGAGCACGGGAAAAGAAAACGGAAACACGCAAACAGGCAGTGCTGGCCTCTCGTGGGGGCTGGGGCTCTCGCGGCAGTACAGGCTGCAAGAGGGACCATCCCGCATCCGGGGGGAAGATCGTGCGGAGCGTGATGCAGACATCATCATGCTACAGGTCCGCGCGGGATAGAGCATGGAGCGGCGGCGACCGCTACGGCCATGGGCCGCGGGGGATGGGTCCATGTCTGTGTGGATGCGGGCGCCGCAGTCGCAGCCCGGGCGGAAGGGGGCGGCGGCGGCTAGGCGGGCCAGGAACGTGCCACGCCTTAGCGGAGCATGCCATGAAAGTTGCTCCAAGTGCCGACTCCGAGGGCACGAAACGCAGACTCGACGGACGAGTCGTCCGGCATGTCGAGCGAGAGCGACACCTCGGGATCGGGGTACGGGTCGGACGCCCCGACCAAAAGTGCAGCGGGGTCAGGCTCGGAAAAGGGGGCTTGCCCCTCGCGTCGTGCGTCCAGCACCACGCCGGCCCCGCCTCCTCCTCCCGTAGTCGCAGGAGGATTGCCGCGAGGGCCGGGGGGGGTCACAGGCGGCTCGCGCGAACGAGGCGTCGGCTTCGGGCTAGCGGGGCTCGGCGCTGAGCCGCCGCCGCTCTCCGACTTCTTGCCCTCGAGAGGAGGCGTCGCCGTCGAGGGATGCGGCGGTGGCGAAGCTGCTTGCCGATCCGTCCAGCCCCAAGCGGCGGGGTGGGTGCTGGCGTGTGTGTGCGACGCGCCCGTCCGCGAGCCGCCGCCGCCGCCGCTGCCGGGCTGGTCAGGTGCAAGAGCATCTTCCATGAGCGCCGCAACGCCGCCGACTGCTGCGTTCGGCCGGCGTGCCTTCTTTGGAGACGGCGTGTCGTGGCTCGCCTCGTTTTCCGACCTCATATCGACGTCATTAAGGTAACTCCAGACCAGTGCGATAGGTGGCTCGGGAGTCCACGTGCGCATCCCTTCTTGACTTTTCCTACTCTTCTTGGCGCCCTCAACAGTACCTTCTGGGCGTTTGGTCGGCCCTCCCACCGACGCACTCTCGAGCGCGCGCGCCCTGGCTCTCTCTCTCTGCGCCTCCTTTGTTCTACGGACTCGGGACCGGTGCTTTGACGCAGTATGATATACTTCGAGGTAGTATGAACTCAGAACGGCCCCCCGAGGCCGCCTCTTCGACGCCCACGGGTCCCGGGGGGTCGGAGGGGTTGCGAGAGGGCCTTGGCTATTTTTTGTTTGAATCCCGGAGGCCGTTTAAACATGTAACGTGCGTTCCACGTGCCCGTCCCCAGCAAGGACAACATGCTAGCCCAGCAGGCCGCTCCCACCGCCGCCCGCGGCGTAGGCAAGGCGGCAAAGGGTGGCAAGGGCGGCGGCAAGGGCGGTGGCAAGGGTTGTGGCCGTGTGGCGCACCAGACCCACTTTGCGCCGCCAACCTCAACGCCCGATACTCGGTTGAGCCGGCGGAGCGACGGCGGCAGAGTTGCGGCCGCCGGCGACCTCACACGGCGTCGAGCGCCGTAGAGACGGCCCCGAGAGCCGCCGCCAGGTGTGCCACGACCGCAGTCGCGAGGCTCGTGGCGATGGATGCGCCAGATCCGCTTGCGCCGCCGCCCTCAACGCCCGATACTCGGTCAGAGCCGGCGGAGCGACGGCGGCGGAGTTGCGGCCGCCGGCGACCTCACACGGCGTCGAGCGCCGTAGAGACGGCCCCGAGAGCCGCCGCCAGGTGTGCCACGACCGCGGTCGCGAGGCTCGTGGCGATGGATGCGCCAGATCCGCTTGCGCCGCCGCCCTCAACGCCCGATACTCGATCAGAGCCGGCGGAGCGACGGCGGCGGAGTTGCGGCCGCCGGCGACCTTCCCCTCGACCACGCCGCCGACCCGTCGACAAGCACGTGCGGACTGCCATCGAGAAGAAGGGGACGGAGGGCGGCGCATCCGGAGCCCGCGGGCGCAGCGGGCGCGGGTCCGGGCGCGGGCGGGCGCGCGCGGGAACCCCGCCAGCGGAGGCGACAATGCCTCTGGCGGCTCTGCAGGCGGCGCGCGGCGCGCCCCTCGCCGGTCTCCCGCACGCTCCTGAGGGCCGAGAGGGCCGAGAGGCGGGGTCGGTGACCCGGGGGCATGGGCGGTGCGGCCCGCGCCGCGCACGGGCGCGTGGTAGCCCGTGAGTGCCGAGATCGGGTCCATACTTCGACGTAGTATGGGCCCCCGGGGGCCCATCTACAGCAGCGGCGAAGTGAGCGTGTTTGTGGTGTTGGTGTGGCGTCTGAGCTTGGATCTGTGACTAAAGCCGGTTACCACTGATGGATCCCCACCCGAATAACACACAGTGAGCGCCCCAGCGCTTCACTACGCCCTCCGCGCGAAATCGCTAGTGGTGCTTTGTGGTAGTATATTATACTTTTGAGTAGTATGGGTACGGTGCCCGAGACCGTCTACTGGCCCGTCCCGCGACATGCAGTCATGCAGACGCACGCACACCGTACCACACGGGCGCCCCGCGGCGGGCGTGCACGCGGGCCGCCTCCACCAACCACCAATACGAGCGTCACTTTGTACCAACCCCCCCTAGTTCGTGGGGACCCCCCCGCCGGTCGGTGGTCTGCCCCCGAGGTGGACCGGACCCCCCCTCCGGTCGGTCGCTCTCTCGGCGGCGGGAGGTGTGACGACCGACCCCCCCCTCGGTCGGTGTCCTTGCCGTGAGCCCCCTCAAACGCTAGAGAGAGAACGCTCTTTCTCCCTCCTTCTCGCGAACCGCCACGGGCGCCTCGAAATCGCCGGTTTTCACTATAAAAACTAGTTACGCAGCCAAGCGCCAAGGAGTTTTGTTTGACTTCTTCGCCGAGGCCCGAGCAAGCAAGCCCGACCCCACACATCTATGTGGAGCATCTACGCAGTCGCAGGCCTGGTCCTGCTTGCCGTCGCTTTGTACAAGCTCTGGCCGCGCTCAAGCGGCTCGTCAACGGGTACACAAACAGTGTGTCGCCGGCGAAGCTAATTAATCGTATGGACGACGACGACCAGAGCGTGGACATGGACAAGCTCGTGTTCCGACCCAATCCTGAGCGTCTCGGTCTCGAGCTCAGCCACTCGGACGACGAGGAGTGATTAGACGGGGAGAGGGCGCTTGGTTTCTTATTGCGAGATACTAATTTATTCACAGCTGTGTTGTAACGGCGGCATGATACGTTATTTGGCGCCGCCACGATCGAGTCAGGACATCCACTTCGCCTACTGCCTCATGGCGGACGCGCAGAGCTCATGAACGCGGACGCTGGGTGTCTCGGCGTGCACGATGCGGGTGGCTCGCTCGATTTTGGCGCACGCGACAGCCTCGCAGGTGCGCTCGAGCGCTCCATGGATGCCTTCGCCCAGTGGGAGATTGAGGTGTGCTCTCTGGCGGTCCTCATGTCGAAGAAGGGCTTTCGTGTGGTGGACGAGTCACGCCGGACCTTGGAACTGCTGCCGCCGGAGCGGTATGGCGCGCTCTCCTACTGGGCCAAGTGGGCGTGCGGCAGCAGACGGCGCGTTCGCCGCGCTGCACGGCGCGACGGTCGAGCTGCTCGTGCGCAAGGGGGTGCTCTCTCGCGACGAGCTGCGACTGCAGGTCGAGGCGCTCGACGCGATGGCGTACGGGCAGACGATGGAGGGGGCCACACTCGTCGCCAAGGCGTGGCTGGCTAACCATAACCATAACCATAACCCTAACCCTGACCCTAGCCCTAACCCTAATCCGAGGGGGCCACTCGTCGGCAAGGCGTGGCTAACCCTAACCCCAACCCTAATCCTAACCCTAACCCTAACCCTGACCCTAGCCCTAACCCTAATCCGAGGGGGCCACACTCGTCGCCAAGGCGTGGCTAACCCTAACCCCAACCCTAATCCTAACCCTAACCCTAACCCTGACCCTAACCCTAACCCTAATCCGAGGGGGGCCACACTCGTCGCCAAGGCGTGGCTAACCCTGACCCCAACCCTAATCCTAACCCTAACCCTAACCCTGACCCTAACCCTAACCCTAATCCGAGGGGGCCACACTCGTCGGCAAGGCGTGGCTAACCCTAACCCCAACCCTAATCCTAACCCTAACCCTAACCCTGACCCTAACCCTAACCCTAATCCGAGGGGGGCCACACTCGTCGCCAAGGCGTGGCTAACCCTGACCCCAACCCTAATCCTAACCCTAACCCTAACCCTGACCCTAACCCTAACCCTAATCCGAGGGGGCCACTCGTCGGCAAGGCGTGGCTCGACCCAGCCTTCAAGGAGCTCCTGCTGGCCGACCCAGCCCAGGTGTGAGAGGTCACGGAAGACCTTCACAGTAGCGACGGCTGCGCAGTCGTCGGCCTTCAACACCAGGCGCTCGTGCAGGCCGGGCTGCAGGGCGTCGTCGACGCGCGCGGCGGCATCGGCTCGACGCGAGCGGGCACAGGCGACCTCGAATACATGGGCACCCGCTTGCGCGGCGCGCCGGCGCAGGCCGTGGCGCCGATAGGAGACACGACACTCGTCGTGGTGGAGAACACGCCGACGGTGCACAGCCTCGTCGACTCGCACCTGCTCGAGGTGTGAACAGGAGGTGTGAATAGGAGCTGTGAATAGGTGCACAACCTCGTCGTGTGCACGCTCTGCTCGTGCTACCCGCGCGCGCTGCTCGGCCTGCCGCCGCGCTACTACACGTCGCGCGCCTACCGCAGCCGCGGCGTGAGCGAGCCGCGCGCCGTCCTCGCAGAGTTTGGCTGCGCACTCCCACCCACCAACACCACCGTCCGAGTGCACGACTCGACCGCCGACACTCGCTTCCTCGTGCTGCCGCAGCGCCCCGCTGGAACTGCCGGCTGGGATGAGGCGGCGCTCCGATGGCTCGCCACGCGCGACTGTCTCGTCGGCGTCGCTCTGCCCCGTGTGTGTGTGCCGCCGCCGCCGCCGCCGCCGTCCTCGCCCGCCAAAATGCTCGAGGCCGGCCGTGCGTCCGCCGTGGCCGAGTACGGATCGATGGCGCCGAGAGCTCTCGACGCCGCTTACGACAACGGCGCCGCGTGCCGACCGATGCTCGGCGCGTGGGTGGCGCGCAACTTGCCGCTCTCCCACGCGGAGCGCGCTGCCGCCCCACCCGAGCTCCTCGACCTCCAGTACGGCGCTGGCACGCACGAGCGCTTCGACTTTCTGCCCGCGAGCACGCCGGCGGGGGGCGCGGCGGCGGCGTCGAACGCGGACGCGCCGACGTTGCTGTACATCCATGGCGGATATTGGCACATGAACAGCCCCAAGGAGAACAACTGCTTCATCGCGTCGGCGCTTCGGCGCCGCGGCGCCAACGTGGCGATCCTCGAGTACGGCGGGCTCCCCACTCCGGAGCCGCAGCCCGTCTGCGAGCAGTGCTTGCAGGTGCTGACGGCCGTCGAGTTCCTAGCGGCGGCCCTGGCTGCTGGACGGCTGCCGGGCGACCCGGCGAAGCTCGTCGTCGCCGGCCACTCCGCGGGTGGGCAGCTCGCGGGCGTGTGCGCGCTGCACCCGCGCACGCGCGCCAAGCTCGCCGGCGCCCTCTGCATTTCGATGATCGCTGACCTCGAGCCGCTGCGCCTGCACTCGTACTTCAACCTGAGCTTGCCCGCCGCCAGACGACGGCTCATCGCGCCCGACGACGTCCTCGCGTGGTCGCCCCTCGCCCTGATCCCGCCCGCAGAGGCAGGGGTGGCGCTGCCGCCGATCGTCGCCGCCGTTGGGGGCGACGAATTGCCCGAGCTGCGCCACCAGACGCGCGACTTCCACGCCGCGTGCACCGCACAGGGCCACGCGGTCACGCACGTCGAGGTGGCGGGGGCGTCGCACTTCGATGTGCTCGACGGGCTCGCAAGCGGAGGCGACGCGGCGCTTTTTGCCCAGGCGTGCCGGTTGCTCTGCGTGTGAGGTCTGTGCCTGTGAAGCCTGTGATCTGTGCCTGTGTGTGTTTCATAGCGACGTGCCTGTGATTTTGTTTTTATTGGCAGAGCCGATCAGCTGCACCACCACAGGCCGACCACAGTGGCAAAGATCAGCTCCAGGCCCCCGGGCGGAGGGCACCCCAAGGAGAAGCCGAATCCTCGCGTCGATAAAGGGGCACTTTTTCGGTGCTGGTAGCCCCCCCAAAACAGGCGCGCGCAGCGCGCCCAGGGGCGCCGCAGGCGCCCCAAGCGGCGCGGAGCGCCGCCGCAGGCGGCGGACAGCAGGTGCGCGAAATTAAACGCCATTTTCGGCTCCGCGGTTTTGCCACTAACATTGAAATCCGGTACAAAACGACTTAGCCGAAACAACAGACAGACAGACAGAGAGCACACACGTTCGAGACGGGGGTGCGCCGACCACCGTCGCGGACCCAGTAGAGCTAGATGGTCCCACATGATGCGCCCTTAGCCTCTGAGCTCGTCCTAGACGTTTTAGGGAAGCGTGGGCAGACCAGAACGCGGCCACGGCGACGCTCCGAGGCTATCAGCAGCGCTGGCGGCGATCGTGGCGACGGCGCCTCGCCGCTGCAGCGGCACAGAATCGAGGAAGTGGCGTTGGTGGCAGCATCAATGAGATATGAAGGCGGCCGTAATGCTGGTGGCGCCTTCGAGGGCGGCGGGGAGGGCGGTAGCAGCGACGGCGGTCGAGTCATGTGGCAGGGGTGGCAAGATGCAGCAGGGAGGCTTGAGTTAGCGACGCGGGGCGGTGGCGTGCCAGCAGGTAAGCGGCGGCGGCGGAGAGCAGGTGCGCGAAATAAAGGCCAATCTTGAGATATCCATTTTGCACCACCTTTGGATTTCTGGTACAAATTGACTTGTGGATCTTGAAGGCACGCGCAAGAGCGCACCAGGCAAGTTGACTCAACCTCGGATCTCGCTGCCGCTAAGCGTGGCGTCGATTATCAAACGAGCGGTGACAGTAGCGGTGGCAGCGGCGGCAGCGTCGACAGGAGCACCTACTGCAGTGTCAAATGTGAGCTGGGAGGCGGGAGGCAGATGCAATAGGAGCGGGAGAGTGAGATCGTCAGCCAGCAAGGCAGACCTTTACGGCGCGGCTGCGGGCGCGTTTGCAGTGACATGCGATCCATGTGGCAGCAAAGGCACGGCGGGAGTAGCGCGTATGCAGGCTGGTGAGCGAGGGTGGCGCGTCGCGAGTGGCGGTGCAGCCAGTCGGTGGCGGGTGCTGGCGACCGGCAGAGAGATGCAGACGGCGCGAGAGATGACCCTGCGGAGAGGCGAGGTGACGGGCGATCCGCGACGGTGGGAGAGGGCTGAGCATCGCCATGTCTCGCTCCGGCACCATCTTGCCGAAGCGCAGGCCCGGGAAGGCGGTGTTTTTGATGTAGCGGAGCCGCGCCGTGTCGTGCTTGTTGTACCGCCCTTGGCGGCCGGCGTAGCGCTGGTGCACACCGTGCAAGATCGACTGCAGCTCGAGCTGGTGGCTGACGATGTCCTCGCCGCTCTGCAGCGCCGGCGACAGGCACATGGCGCCAGCAGAGGAGATCTGCGAACAGGGCGAGTCGACGCTGGCAGGTCAAGCAGCGCAAGGCGCGCGATACACAGCGTCGACTCGCTACCAGCAACGAATGGGTACCCTCCCCGATAAAGGGGAATCCAAGGGGGGAACAGGCCAAGCCTTCTTGGCTTCCGCGAGCCCCTCCAACCAAATGGTCCCGGCGGTCGGCGGTTGGTCGGCGGGAGATCTCTGGCCGCTCGCCGGCGGACAACGCGGCGGTTGCCGGGTGGAGCACGGCGCGTATGGTTCGGTTGACACAATTTTGGGCGTGAGCGAGGCCGAGTGCCAGGCCCTGTGCCGCGATAGTCGAGATTGCCTCGCAACCGACTACCACTTCACTGGCGGGCCCGAAAACAGCTGCGATCTCCACAAGAAGCCGGTGCTGCACGTCCTCCCGATGGGCGAGCACGCGTGCCGCATCAAGCCCGCCCCGGGGCAGAGCGGCTTTCGCGGAGAGACATTAGCCTTCAACGGGGAGGTGACTCACCTGCCGGCGCCTCCCCTCCCTCGGCCGCCTCCGCCACCGTCGCCGCCATCGCCGCCGCCATCACCGCCGTCGCCGCCACCACCGCCACTGCCGCCGCCGCTGCCTCCCTCGCCACCATCGCCGCCACCACCGCTGTCGCCGCCACCACCGCCAACTCCACCGCCACCGGACAGCCCGCCACCGCAGTCCCCGCCACCGCCACCACCGCCGCCTCCCTCGCCACCACTGCCGCCGGACAGCCCGCCACCGCAGTCCCCGCCACCGCCACCACCGCCGCCTCCCTCGCCACCACTGCCGCCGCCGCCCTTCCCGCCGCGACCCCCGCCGTCGCCACCGCAGTCCCCGCCACCGCCGCCTCCCTCGCCACCACTGCCGCCGCCGCCCTTCCCGCCGCGACCCCCGCCGTCGCCTCCGCCGCCACCGCCACCGCCGTTGCCACCGCCACCACCATCGCCATCTCCGTCCCCGCCACCTCCGTCCCCGCCACCTCCGTCCCCGCCACCTCCGTCTACACCGCCGCCGGCGCCGCCGCCCCCTCCGCCAGGCGCACTTGAAGCCACTGGCGTTCTGCTGGGTGCCGCCGCCTACTCCATGAAGGTCTCGATGATTGGGGCGGCGCTGGTGGTGGTGTGGGCGTGGGTGGCCGAGAGATGCATCCGTGATCGGCCGCGGCGCCGGCTCGCGTCGCAATGGACGCAGATGGCGGAGCGGAGCATCGACGAGCGGCGCACCTTGCGAAGGAGCCTAGACTCGATTAGACTCGATATTAGTCGGCTGCGATAGCATCTCGCGCTGCACCCGCGGCGAGTGTGGGTGAGGAGAAGGGTACGTCCTGCATGTCGGTACCCAGCCGCCCGAGGGAGGAACGGGATGGCTCAAAACAGTTAGGAACAAACACGTCTAGAAAAGGAGCGTTCGAATTCTTTTGCGCGCTAAAATTCTTTTTGTCCCTATGTCCGACGCCAGGGCGGAAGACGTCAGTCCTGGCGCCACGACGGCCAGGACGATCAACAAGTCATTTTCGATTTTGGAACTCGGCCGTCGTCAAGAGCACAAGAGGCAGGTCGCCGCCTTTGACCGTGAATGTGAGTGCACTCGCGCTCTCACAACACGCCGACTACGCCCAGTGGCTGGACGGGCTCGGCGTCATGAGACCTCGGTCCAGCTCTCCATCGGTTCCCGAGCCAGATCCGACGAGGCGGGCGGCTGGAACCGTGGACGGATAAAGCCGTACAAGCAAGGAACGCTCATCCGCGCCCGGCCCCCCTCCACCGCTTTTCGTCCGCGCGAGCGCGGCTTGCGGCTCTTGCCAAACACCCCCCGCTTCCGAGCTCTACGGTAGCAAAGATGCAGGCCAGCAGGCGATTTATCCGCGGAAATTGTCAGGATCATGGGCGACATCGGTCAAGTGATGGGGGAAGTCAAATCCTGGCTCACGAGCTCCTTGTACCTTGAGCTTCTCCAAACGATCGTTAAGGGGACGCGGCTAGTCGGGGGAGGTGTTCAGTGCTACAGGAGCGCCCGCACGTTAGGATTGCGAGTGCTGTCGCTCGGAGGCATTTCGCTAGAGTCGAGAGCAAAGGAGTAGGAGAGCGCCCACCACTTCTCCGGAGAAGTAGAGCCGTAGGTAGGTCCTTCACAGCGCGAGTGAATTTCTTTTAGTTTGTTGTTGCGTACGCAGCTTCGCTGTATATATCGCCGCCGCCAACGGCTGCGGCGAACGTCTCTTCACCACACTTCTACTGCTGTGAACAGGTTCGGCGTCGTTCGTTGTCGGCGGGGAGCCTTCTGCAAACAGCGTCTCTTCGCAGCTCTTCCCGCTTTTCCTTGCGTGTGTGAGTGCCAGTAGTGGCACGCCAGCGGTTACTTTATTAGTGCCCGGCCGTGTTTCTTCTTCGGCATTTCTCCTGTCCTCCGAGGACATCTTGTGGAGCAGACCCGGCAGTTGTCTGGCCGCCGATCATGGTTTCGCTCGCCCTCCTTTTGCACGTCGGCCTCACTAGCCTCGTTTCCGCGCTCGAGCTCGGGCCTCCAGCCCTCATCAGCCGGAGGCGCTTGGCCGCAGCCGCCCTGACTCTGGCCACGGCAACACGCAGCACCAGCTGCTGCCGAAGAAGGTCGAGGGCTTGGCTGGCCAACGCGTCGTCGCTGTCTCGGCTGGGATCGCTCACAGCCTCGCCATCACTGCTGACGGCAGCGTCTGGAGCTAGGGCTGGGGAGGGCATGGCCGGTTGGGCCACGGCGACGAGAAGACCCAGCTGCTGCCGAACGAAGAAGATCGAGGCCTTTGCTGGCCAGCGCGGCATCGCTGTGTCGGCTGGAGATGTGCACAGAAAGAAACCGACAACCCAAGGGAGGGATGGGAGGACGGTACGCCGCCACCATACAGGGATTTTAGGGGAGAAGTGTGGTGTTAGCCGTCGCCCACCCTCGGGCGTCTACCACTTCCTATCTCTCTCCGCAGTTTCTCACCCATTCTCGCAGCGACCTTCATGCCACCTCGCGTTCTTCCCACTCTCGTCGTTCTCTCTCCTGCTGTCTCTTCCCCTGACTCATCGCTCTCCTCGGCCTGGAACTCAAGACCCATGCCTGGCTGTCGCGCGCGGACGTGGAGGTTATGAGGAGGAGGAGCCCGGTGGATAAGCTAGACATGGGAGTGAGGGGAGTGCCCGACACCGGTGGGGGAGTGAATGGGGAGGCAGAGCACCTGGGCATCCACTGGCACGGCGCCGCCCGTGCACCCGAGCAGCGCGAGGGCCAAGAGCGCCAAGAATCGAGCCAGCATGAGCGTCATTGCTGCCATCGATCGCTAATGCCTACTCAGTAATGAGGCTCACGTAGTGTCAGCATCGGCCGCGTGAGCAGGGCGGGAAGGCGCTCGCGCCGCCGCTCGCGCGGATCCAGAAAACGAGCGGGCGGTTGAAGCTGCAACTGCGCTGAAGAAGCTGTCGTTGGCACACGCCGGCGGGCGCTTTGGTGGCGACACTTTTGAGAGGACCCCGCTTCGAGGGGAGAGAGACATGCAAAGAAAGAAAGAAAACAGACAACCCAAGGGAGGGATGGGAGGACGGTACGCCGCCACCACACAGGGATTTTAGGGGAGAAGTGTGGTGTTAGCCGTCGCCCACCCTCGGGCGTCTACCACTTCCTATCTCTCTCCGCAGTTTCTCACCAATTCTCGCAGCGACCTTCATGCCACCTCGCGTTCTTCCCACTCTCGTCGTTCTCTCTCCTGCTGTCTCTTCCCCTGACTCATCGCTCTCCTCGGCCTCGTTCTGAGACGCCGCTGTCGTCTGCCGATCTCTTGCTCTCGCTGCTTCTCTCGCCTTTCTGCGTAACTCCGCTCTCCTCTCCGCGTATTTTGGCGAACCTGTGTGCTGTGCGAAAGTCCAGTGTTGAATTCTTTTCTTTGCGAGCCAGTCCCGTGCCCAGTGTAAAAGAAAGAAAGAAAACAGACAACCCAAAGGGAGGGATGGGAGAACGGCACGCCGCCACCACACAGGGATTTTAAGGAGAGGGGTGTGGTGCGCTAGCCGTCGCCCACCCTTGGGCGTCCGCCTCTTCCTATCTCTCTTCGCAGTCTCTCTCCGATTCTCGCTGCAACCTTCGTGCCACCTCGCGGTCTCCCCCTTCTCGTCGTGCTCTCCCTTGTCGCATCTTCCTCTGTCGCGTCGCTCTCCTCTGCCTCGTTCTGCGACGCCGCCGCCGCCTGCCGTTCCCTTGTTCTCTCGGCTTCTTTCGCCTTTCGCGCAGCTCCGCCCTCCTTCCTTGCTGCAAATCCTGAGTCTATCGAGCTCTCCTCAGTGTAAAAGAAAGAAAGAATTTTACAACAAAACTCTCTCACACGACACCGGGTACGGCACTGGCACTACAAAGGACACAGCAGACGGCCCCCTCAGAGGCCGTCGTCATCGAACAAGTCGATCTCTGCACGATTTAGCCCTCCCGAGCCGTAATCCTCCCCAAAGGGAGCCAGCTCCGCGCGCTCCTCGCGCTCCTCCTTGGCGCGCCCCTTCGCCGCCCGCCGGCGGCGGTGGTTCGCGTCCGCCTCAAAGAAAGAAAGAAAACAGACAACCCAAGGGAGGGATGGGATCTCCTCAGTAAAGAAAGAAAGAAAACAGACAACCCAAGGGAGGGATGGGAGAACGGCACGCCGCCACCACACAGGGATTTTAAGGAGAGGAGTGTGATGCGCTAGCCGTCGCCCACCCTGGGGAGTCTGCCTCTTCGTATCTCTTTTCGCAGTCTCTCGCCGCTTCTCGCTGCAACCTTCATGCCACCTCGCGGCCGTCCCACTCTCATCGTTCTCTCCCTTGTCACTTCCTCCTCTGTCGCGTCGTTCTCTTCTGCCTCGTCCTGCGGCGCCGCCGCCTGCCGGTCCCTTGTTCTCGCGGCTTCTTTCGCCTTTCGGCGCAACTCCGTCCTCCTCGCGGCGTATCCTGGCCCCTCAAGTCTATCGAGCTCCTCAGTAAAAAAGAAAGAAAGAAAAACACACAACCCAAGGGAGGGATCCTCAGTGTTGTGCGAGGGGGCTGTGCCGTTGGCCCGCCGCAAGCCTCGCCGGCGGGTTGGACTCGCGCAGCAAGGCATACAAGCACAGCCACCGCACGGCGCAGCTCTCGCCCTCTGGCTGCGCCGGCGGCTCGTAGCCGGCCTCTTGCAGGCGCAAGCGGATGCCCTCCACCGCAAGCGAGGCGTGGAAGAGCAGCGAGACGGCCGCGACGCGAGCGATGTCGGCGGGGTCGCAGCGAGAGAAGACGCGCACGATGAGGTCCGTGGGGAGGTCGAGGAGGCGGGTCGGCGGCAGCGTGGCTGGCGAGGGCGAGGCGGTGGCGGCGGCGGCGAGGCGGCGCGAGCGGCGGCGCGGCGGGGTGGACATCGCGAGAAAAGAAAAAGGAAACGCCGCCGCGCACGTGCCTGACGCCGCCCGCCGCCGCGTCAGATTCTCGCGACGCGCGTCTCGAGCCCAGTCGCAGAGCCGCGCCGCGCCAGCAGCAGCATCTGCACCAGCAGCAGCACCATTACCACCACCAGCAGCAACAGAGAGAGGCAGTGCAGGCGCAGAAGCGCTCGCAGAGCGGCGCGCAGCGCCGCGCACGCCACGCTGCGGACCGTCGGACGAGCGCAGCGTACGTCGGCGGCGAGCCGCGTCGCCAGCCGTCTCGCGAGAGAGCGGCGCCGCCGCGTGCGCGCAGCAGCCGCCGCGGCAGAGGCGAGCCGCGGCGACGGCCGCACAACTGATAACTGCCATTGGCGGTTTCGTGATACACACACACACACACCCCACACACACTCAGCCAGCGGCACAACACCACAACCCTCTGGGTGGGATGGCGCTTGTACCCCCTCGACTCAGAGACGCGTTCATGCCCTCGAGCGGCGGCGTAAGCCAAGCTTCACCACTCCCGCCTTTTGGCTCACGCCTACGCGCGACGCCGCTGCCTCCGCCCTCGCCGCCGCCCTTCCCGCCAGGCAAGGCTCCCCGCCCGCCGCCCTCTCCGCCGCCGCCGCCGCCGCGCCCGCCCACTCCGCCTCCTCGCCCTCCGAGTCCGCCTCCCAGCCCTCCACTGCCGTGCAGCGTGGTGCCGCGGGCGAGGTGCGGCGGCGTCCTCGCCTGCTACAAGGACGAGGCATGCTACACGCCGTGGAGAGACGCGCATAACGGCCTGGGATGCAACGCCGGGTCAGTCCATCCCGCCTGCCGCTACTGCGGCGGCAGAGATGTGCCACCGTGCCCAGAAGAGCCACCGCCCTCGGCGCCGCCGCCGCCGCTGCTGCCGCCGCCTCCTCTTCCGCCGCCGCCGCCGCCGCCCTCGCCGCCCTCGCCCTCACCGCCCCCACCGTCACCGCCACCCGCGCGCCCGCCGCCGCCCTCGCCGCCGCCACCTTCACCGCCGCCCCCGTCACCGCCCCCCTCTCCGCCCCCGTCGTCGCCACCGCCGTCTCCACCGCCGCCCTCGCCGCCCCCCTCGCCGCCCCCGCCGCCCCCGTCGCCGCCCTCGCCGCCCCCGTCGCCGCCACCGCCGCCGCCGCCGCCGCCGCCGCCGCCGCCGCCGCCGCCGCCGCCGCCCCCGCCGCCGGCGCCGCCGCCGCCGGCGCGGGCGCCGCCGCCGGGGCCGCCGCCGCCGCC